TCCCAGTAAGCTCTGGATGCTCTGAGTGCTCTGGCCGCATGATTTTATACTTGTGTCCCATTTGTCTCCCACTTGTCTCCCAGTAAGCTCTGGATGCTCTGAGTGCGCTGGCCGCATGATTTTATACTCGTCCAGTTGTCTCCCAGTAAGCTCTGGATGCTCTCAGTGCTCTGGCCGCATGATTTCACGCTTGTCTCCCATTTGTCTCCCACTTGTCTCCCAGTAAGCTCCGGATGCTCTCAGTGCTCTGGCCGCAGGATTTCATACTTGTCTTCCATTTGTCTCCCACTTGTCTCCTGATTTCAGACTTGTCTCCCACTTGTTTCCCAGTAAGCTCTGGATGCTCTAGTGCTCTGGCCGCATGATTTCACACTTGTCTGCCATTCTGAGTGCTCTGGCCGCATGATTTCACACTTGTCTCCCACATGTCTCGACTTGGCCCCCAGTAAGCTCACTTGTCTTCCACTTGTTTCCCATGGCCTGTCTGGATGCTTTGTATCCCCAGGCTTGGCTGGATGCTGGGCCGATTAATTTTTTGATGCGCGCAAGGTCGTTGCTCTGTTGTATTTCTGGTGTTTCGAGTTTGAAAGCTGCATTGGCTGCACAGGTCAATGCAGTACATGGCTAAGCCAAAGAAGGCAACTGCGTAGGAAGGAAAAAGCCAAGCGCAGTGTCCGTGCTCTGAGGAAATCTTCATTTTGATTGGGTCTGCGCATTCGTGTTTACAAGGGGGGCAACATATGTCACAACCTGGATCCATAAATTTCATGTTTTAGCCCTTGTACGGCGTCCCATTGTAAAGTCAATGAAAAACAGAATTTTAATGTTTTCCCTTTGAATCTTGTATGTGCGTCTACATGGTGGACTATAGTTTTCTTCCTCTAGGAAATACTGCTGGCCATATTGTTCGGAGATCTCATTTTGGAACATTGCTCTGTTTGGGGTCTACGCTGGTATAATTTTTTTCCGTGATCTGCAGAGGCCGGGTAGATGAACAGATTGATTCTGCGGTGGGCTTGGCGTCCGGACGCCAAGCGACAGAGAAAAGACGCGAACCAGACAAATGCCTCGTAGTGCCAAAAGTTGAGCGTTATTTTCTGGATAATATTTTTCTGCCCAATGAATGTTGTAGATGAAAACTCAACAGGCAGAAAATTCGCCAAGCCTTGGGCCAGTTGTGGATGGCCAAGGATAGAACTTGAAGACATGGAAGAAACATTTGAGGCTGGTGAGAGTGTCTGTGTGGTCGAGCCTTTTTAACAAAGCTGAAAGAGTTGCCTCGAGATGGGAAGAGTTGGCAACTTGTGAGGCCATCGTGAATGATTTGCCTCAATCCTGCAGCTCCATGCCTCTTTTCCAGCATGGAGGAATCAAAATGCCAACCCCAACACATCCTTCTTTCCAGGTTCTTCCTTTTACTGTAACTTGTTATACATCTTTTAAAACCTCTCTGTCTCTCACTACCTCTTTCTCTTGCAAAGCTGTTTTCAGCTGATGCTTCAGTCTTGCGAACATGTCCGTTACCAAGTGGGCCATTGGCCGGCTGCATCTCAGCCTCTCAGGGTGCCTGGTGCCAAAGAGGCCATGGCCATGGCGTCAGACAAGGCTTCGAGCGCCAACGCATGGGTTTAGCATTTACGGGCTGGACGGCGAACCCAGGGCTTTCAGAATTTGAACACCTTGGCGTTCGCTGTATCAGCATGTCAGGGCAAGATTCAGGGAATGAGACTGGATTCCTGCACGTTTTCGAAGCTGTGGTGACCACGTGATGTTTGTCCAGGACACAAGTAAGGGATCACCTTGATCCTAGAAACTAGGTTTTTCATCCTGTTGCCGGTACAAGGCTCAAGAGAAGCTGCTGGAAATGAAGCAGAAGGTGCGCCTTGCATCATCTCTCACTTGTTCGAGCAAGGTTCTTTGCATTTATATATAATACTATATAGTGGAATGTGAATTGTGAATGTAGGTAAAAACTGCGAGCACTCTGTTGTTTGGAGACCTTGGTCCTGCAAAACAGGGATCCGGGAATCCACCGAAGATCTGCTTCCGACCTCGTCAGGTCATGGCCTTCTTGAAGGTGGCGAACACAGCCAAATCGATGATGACTCGGCTTCTCCAAAGCTTTGATCTTTTGAAGGTGCCACAGCCAACGGGCGGTGACTTGTGGGGTGGAATGTGGTCTGAATGGTTAGAACGAACTACACCTAACACAGTGATTGGCAAAATATGCAGTTTTGAGACGCAAGACACAAGAGTTTTGTGCAACCCGCAAGCAGTTTGTGTGCCCACGACTTGCACCTTTGTGTTGTATTTCTGGTGTTCAGGCTTTGATCGTTGTGGTGCCAATGGTTGTGGCCACAGAAAGCGAACACGATTGAGTCCAAAGGATTGAGTCCGACTATCCACGTCAGGTGCAAACAAGTTTATCAAATGTCTGCTATGATCATTGCTCTCTCTCTCTCTCTCTCTGATTTTCTTGGCGGCTGGGTTAAACATTCTTCCTTCCAAGTCTCGTCGAACGTTTTTCATCGCACTCACCTCTATTAACCACTGAGGTTCCTCTCATACTCATGGGCCTATGGATACTGACCATTGGCATTGCTACAGTGATCTCCTGGCAAAGCAGCAACCCTCATGCCGGGATGCCGAGGTGTGAAGACGAGGGGTGGTCAAAAGAGCAATTCTTCTAGAAGTTCCGCCACGGGCATTCATTCATTAAATGTGTTCTTTTTAATGCTTTTTGTTTGCATTTTCTTTCTCATGCTTTGGGCCCTACTACATCACAACCTTTGCCGATAGCTCGGATGCTACAGACTGTCTTTCGGTAGCCCCTTGAATTGCTGCTCCACAAGAGGAAGCAACGCAGCACACAGGAAGTATTCACAGGCAAGAGCCAATTCAACCCGATGTAATTTCTTTTCATTGAGACACTTCTCGAATGCAGCAGACAGATCTAACAACTCATTTGCAGCCTATCTATGAGAACTGCCGAGGCCAGGCACTCATGGCATTCATGGCACTTAGAGGTCTTCTGTTTTCCTGGAGTGGCCGATTGCGGGCTTTTCGGAGCTTTGCAATTGGTCCCAGGCTTTTCGGAGCTTTGCAAGAGTCTGCGATCATGGCACAAACCTTACTTCACCACATTGCTAGCGAATCAGACATCACCCTGTCATGACCAGTATAAAGAAACATCATTACTATTTTGGATTGGAGCAGAAGTGTTCACTATCATGACCAGCCGCAAATGCCAGCATTGTCAAAGCAGCAAACACGCAGACACACAAAGACCATTGCAAGAATGCGGAGACTACAATCTGAAGACAATGCCAATGTGCTCTTTGCACCTTGGAAGATTCAGGACCTGAAATCATGTATTTATCCCTTCAGCCAGAGACTTTTATGTCATGGAGTCCTCCGGAGACAACATCCATATAATCTGAATTCATCCAAAAAGTATTAAATGCGCAAAAGCAAGCATTCCATCCAGCCCGAGACTTCAGAGGCCTACAGACCTTGTGATTTGCCATCGATGTTTGGAAGTGATTTGCCTTGAATCAGCTTTGTGCCTGGACGTCGAGGTTGCAGAGCGTGCGGACGATCTGGTCATCAGGCTTGGAGTCTATGGCCTTGTGAACAGAATCATGAAGATGCCTTGAGGTAGCGAACAGCCCGCCCCCAACCTTATGTGGCTTTCCCACATTTCTTTCATTCTATATACCCTTTAGTTCCAACCATCCAGCAGGGTCAGAAGCTACCTGAAAACCCACCAGGTTCGGTGCTGGCGGTGCCTGCTGTGCCATGCTGGTGGCTAGCTTTGTTGCACGGAGCCTAGGTATTCTGTGTTTGGCTTTTTTTTTTGGGGGGGAAGATGCAGGCTCTGAAGGTATGAACTTTGTGTTCTTTATGTATTCTCGCTGGTGAGACTTTTTCGTCATTTTATCATCTTTCAACTCCCAAGTCCGCGGCATACCTCTTCGCTGGCATCGTCACTGGCGGCCTTTGCATGCACCTAGACACCAATGCACAGAGCCTAAGATCTCCAGTTCGCGAAACGCAGGCGAAGGCCTAAAGGGACGCACAACGGGTCAAGGACCATGGGTCAAGGTCTCAATATAGTGGTCTTAAGAAAGATGCAAACAGAAAGATAAGGAAGGATTAAAAATAGAAAGGGAAGACAAGCGGAAGGGTGTGAAGAAGTGCTTGTCACTGCGGTGTTCTCAAGGTCATCAGCTTGGTGACAGTGGTCTGGACCTTCAGCTGTGCCATTTCGTGGGCTCGACCGAATGAGAATGTGCAGCATGTTGAACTTGATCCCCAGATGCATTCGTTTTGGGTGTTCAGCATTGGTTGCTTGTGGATGCTGCAAAAAGGGTGAGGAAGCGTTGGTGGTCGAAACCAGGAACTGCAGCGTTGGCGGATGACTGTTCGATCCACCCTTCTATATCAATATCCTTTTCTTAAACCAGACAGAGAGAACCTCTCATTTTGCAAAAGAGCCTTCAGTTGCTCGGTCACTGTCGGTCACCTTGCACATCGCGAGTCGGGGGGATCACAGGCTGATCATGTTTTCCGAGAAACTTCTTCACGGGGTTACATTCAAGAGCTCGTGGTTTCTGGATTGTAAGAAGAAGCGTCCACGAATCCCAGAACTTCTCCAAAGGCCCTAGGACTGCCGCCTGTGCTGCTTTCCAATTCTTTCCCATTGGTTTCCCAGTCGTGAGTGATGCGACCAAATTCTGGGACCCGCCCGGCAAGAACTCTGAGGTGAACTTCACCGATGTGCCCTGGGGCTTAGAGAAATCCAGCTCTTCCACAGAGTCTCAGATTCGATGCGGGAAGAGATGTTGCTTCGAAGGGATTGGCAGTTCGACCCGACAAGGTCACAGTTCAAGTTCGACATAGACCCAATCCTGGAAGGCGCAGCAAAGTACTACGTCCTGGGCAGCCAGGACTTCGCTATGCAGCAATTGCACGTCATTCCATGTGAGGAGAGTTGCAATTTTCCACATGGCCACGAAGAAAGAGAGTGCATCACAGCATATTGCCGATCCTTTTGAAGACAGAGCGTCTTCCAAGCAGTGGCATCTTTCCGCCTGACACGTCGTGTTCGGTCGTGTTGGGTCCGGTAGCTGCGTTCCCCCTTTGATGGCCGTGAGTCCTCCCTTAACAGGAGAATCCGATGATCTCCATGATCGAAGACGTGGAGCGGGACGCTGTGGCGCTCTACGGGGTGCGGTGCTGTGGGCCTTTTGAGAATTCCAGTGATAGACATCAAGGGACATATTCGTCCTCGTTGTTCCTAGTAGCTTCTTGTTCCTAAGGCCAGGAGCTACTAGTAGCGTCCTTGCTCCGGTCGTAGCGATGCCCTTTGTAACTAGTATAGAGACATCCATGGACGATGTCGGAAGATGTCGGGAGATGCACTGATGTTCCATCCGTGGGACACCCAGGTCTATGAGAATGCCACTTGGGCAACGACGCCCGCGGAGGTGAGCAGCGGGTCTGGAGCGGTTGTGGTCCTGGGACTCAACGGTCTAAGTATATACTCCAACAGACATGAATTGGTAAGAATGCTTGTTGGGCGACGCAACCAGAGTACCCATATACTCGGTGATCAGTTTGGCATGGTTTGGCCAAGTTTGGGTTTGTGAACACATCTTTAGACTGCACGACCAACACCGTTTACGGACCCCAAATACTCCCAACTGAAATGTTTGGTTTACCCAATCAGCCCACATAGCCTGCAGATGGTGTGCTCTGGCATCAAGAAATTGAATGCCTCTGACGCTTTGACTGCCTGCTCCAAGCTACCTGGCGCTCAAAGACTGGGAGGTCTGTTTTGACTGGGGCAAAGTTTCAAAGGATTCCAAATGAGCCAGTTTTACAACGACTTTCTTTCCGTCTCTCGTGTTCTTTGAGTTTTTATTAATTTCTTTCTGATCTCAACATCTTCACGCTGATTCCTAAGGTCCGTGCAATTTGCACGTGAGCTTATGTCTGCGAAGCGGGGCGGCTCGTTTCTAGTGGCATCGTAGGTCGTAGATCACAGCCTTCTGAACCAAACCCCATTGCTTGGTGCAGAAACATGTACCCCTACTACCAAACCTTCGCCCATGAGCTGATGTGCGACAAGATGCAGGGAGCCTAGCCGTTGCACATCCATACCATTCCAAGTACAGTCGCCTGCACCGCAGCTTGCAGTTTCTTCCAGGCTCCATGGCATGAAGCTGCTGATCCTGTACACCATCGCCGGAGGGCCGAGATTTCTTCTCCAGATGCCAGATGTGTCAATAAATTCTGTGAGGAAAGAAAGTACATGAAAGGGCTCTAGATCGGATCAATGACTTTTGATCGTTTCAATGACCATCGAACTAGCTTCTTCCGATGTGAAACAGCGGCAGCCTTTTCGTGGCAGAAGAAGGCTTCTTTCTGCTGATCATGTTCGATTGCAGGAATTTTTGAGTTATAAACGCAAGGGTTGCTTATTCACAAGGCAAGCCACATGACAGATGTATGGCCTTGTAGATAGAGTCGTACAATATTCTACTGGGAGCTGCTTATTGCACTGGAGGGACGCATATTTTTGATTGGAGATCTTATAGTCTTCCAAGATCGTGAGCATGATCTTGATGCCTCTGGTGGCGCTTTGCGCCGACGTTGACTTGAGGTGCACTTTCCATTTGTTGTACACTACTAAAGCTTCACATCATGCAGGATGAGTAGGTAGATGGTTGTTTGTTGTGCCAATCCTCTGCAGAATGAGACTCTTCCAACAGCGAGCGGCAGGAAGTGGGAGCGGTATAAGATGGACAATTATGAGGACCACTATGACATGTCGTGCGCTGGAGAGTTTTTGTTCATTTTCTTGCACTGATCAGATGTGGCACAAGCACAGGTATGAGGCGCAGGAAGCGAGCCCCTTCCTGAAGAATTCTCTGAACATGATGCAGGGCATGCAGCATGCAATGCCCGGCATGCAACATGCGGGGATGCAATCCTCCCCATCCCAAATGATGCAGGGGATGCAAGCAGCAGCCCAGTCTCGGCAAATGCAACTCTACAGCTATTCCGGCAACGGTAACTGATGTTTCTAACGTCAACTGGTGATCCGTGTTGTTGAAGTGGGCCGGTGTGTGGTTTGACTTCTTGTGATGGTGAAACATTATTATATTCCACTTCTGCGTCTTTATGTCACCAGGCAGAGAGAAACGTCGTTGCCGCAAGCTCGAAACCGGAAGGCGGTCCAAAGAGACCTGAAACATGCGAGGGTGGATCTCGATCAATCTCGATCGCGTCACCTTTGCACTTGTTGGGTTTAGCCAGATGCTTTAAAGGCACAGGGCAAAAAGCACGGGTGCGAAGATCCAGCAAATTCTGAAACCATGAATGCAGGAAGGAAGACCGCCCCAGAAGAGTATGTTATGTTATTCCTTTTGCAGGAGGACTTCTGATTCAGAGAGGCAGTGCATTTGCATGACCTGGACATGAAATTGGCTCCTGGAGACTGGAGAGCAGTATTCCAGCAGCAAGCCTAACTGAGAACTGATAGCCAAAGAAAACGCTTCTTTAAGCCCCGTGCAACGGCTTACATCCAGGCATCTCTTAACAGGGCCGGTGCAATTGGATTTGCAATACATAATACTTGTATGGTGCAGAGTAAGGCGACTTGCAAGACATTTCTGGCCATCGCAAGCAGTACTCCAAGCAGTAACATGTTCCCCAGAAGTTCTGCTCGGAGGTTCCTTTGCTCGTTTTGCCTCTCATGGCGGAGCGCGATGCGAAAGCGAGAAAGGTACAGGTCACCGTCGAGGCGAACCCCAGTCTTTTCCCGGTTTATCGGGCGGTGGGGCGGAGAGAAACGGCTTCCATTCTCGAACATGGAACATGGATGAACATGGAATCATCATGGGTTGCGTTTTTCTTCTTTTTTCATTCACGCTTTGTGTCGAATTTCCTGTGTTGCTTCATTTGTGGCAGGTGCGCGCTGTGAGCGGAAGTTGCTTGGGCATCCTGGAGATGTCCACGAACAACACCATTGCGGATGTGAAGGCAAGGGACATTCGAGCCTAGCCAATACTGGGTTTGTGTTAGTTGAGTCCCTTCATTTCAAGGTTGCTTGGGGCAATTGGTTGATAGATTGGCTACACAATCCTTTGTCGTTGTGAGTCATGTTTGGGGAGCAGAGTAGATATACTGGTGACGGAGATGCTGTAGCGAAAAGTGCCGTCCGCAGGCCAAGCTTCAAGCAGGAACTGCTGGCCGATACGACTTGGCTTCATCTCAAGGTGCCTTACCATGCAGGCCACCTCTCTTTACGCCGCAGAATGGCCAAGTCAGAATGGAAACTTCAAACGCGGATACAAAGCATACCTTGCAGGTCAAGGACCTCAGTCTGGTTATGCAACACCAGTACTATATAAATGAGGTCATGGACCAGGTTTAACTTGGCCTGTAGGGATACCTTCTGAATCCTTCTCATTTTTGTGCAGGTCCGTTCACCTGGACACGTGATCCGATGTGATCCGAGGCCACGTCATCCCGGAGACCACGGATCTGGTGAGCCTCCAGGGGAGCGAAGCGGGCCATGTCCTGCTTTGCCTAGTCTGGCGACGCCTGGGTTTCGCCTATACCGCCGACCTCAACGGGCGACTTGGACGGAGGGGAGAAGATCAAGGTTGAAAGCTGGGTTGGCTAGTGTAGGTGGTGTGTTGGCTATTTTTGCGCATCCGTGCAACAACATCAACCCTTGGGTACATTCCCAGCCTCAACAGATGCCTCTTCGAAGTTGGACTTTCAGCAACTTGAATGCTTCCGCTGATGCTCGCTGATGCTTCCAGGAGGCGCAAACATGCACATCGTATTCTGAACCGATGGAGCCATGGAGCGATCCCAGAATGGGCTTCAGGGAAAATCTACACGAAACCCTTAGTTTTGGGGGCGTGAAAACCGGTTTCCAAAACCGATGTTCCCCCCAAAACCCGTTGAAGCAAGCCATCTCCACCGCCCGCCCCGCTCTCTGACTCTTCGCTCCGCGACTCCGAGGGTCTTGACTTTGTGGGACCTCGCCCAGCGAGAAGTGGTGCACCGTGCCGCGATGAAAACGGGCTGGATGGATGTGGCAGGGTGATCCAGGCCCAGGTGCCAGACACAAATGGACATCAACGGACTGAGTATGCTCAAGTCGTTTGAGGGTATTTGGACCACATCGAGAAGTGCATTGTCTTGATTCATTGAGGGTCCGGGTCTTGATGGTTTTGACCGTTTTGAGACACCAACGTTGACACAGCAGAATCGACCACACTTGACAGCTCCCACTTGTTATTTGGGAGGTTGCATCATTGTTTTGTTTGAAATACAGCCAGCTTGAGCTGCTCAAGTATCGGCAGGTGTCATGAGTCCTTTGTCTTTATCTTGGGAACTGCTCATTAAAACACCAAGCTATAAAGCCGTAGCTCAAGTGGATGTGGCTTAGGCTTGCAGTGCTCCTTGTGCCAACCGGCGTGTCCCACCTGCCTGTTTGCTGACTGGGAACGCCAACGAGTGCTTTGTTGCTTGGAGGTGGCTCGAATGGGACGGATTCTGAGATGTCAGTTTCATGAAAGCCGGAAGTGGTGTGACCTCGTGTCTTTGACTCGAGCTCACAGGATGTCAATGTCCTAAACTTAAACTCTATGGTTTCCGCTTCTTCCAAGTCTTTGTTGTTTCTTCCAAGTGGCATTCGATGCGACCCCGATTGGATGTCATGTGGACGACTGCGATGGGTGTCTTTTTTCAAGATCGGTCCATTGCTTCCAGAAGTCAACGTTGCGATTGCTGTGTGCAGTTCAACTCTGAGGATGGCACACTCTATTTGTGGGGCTCAACGGAAATCGATGGCTCACCTCACTTGTTGCGAATCATGCAGGACAGAAATCGGATTTGTCACATCGATCTGGTGAGCCAAGGGGCCTTACTCTCAAGGATGGAAGCTTGGCTTTCCGCATCAGGGGACTTGTTGGGGTACATGTAGTACATGGTGGCGATTCTGTCGAGCAAACCATGCGCTCCTTGGTCTGCCAAGCTGACCGATGCGGCTGACTGGGCACCTGACCTTTGAGAGCTGTTTGCTTGTCGGACACAAGATTCGGCCCACCCATAGCCGGTACAAGAAGCACGGGCTTGGGCATGTTAGAAGCCATCGCTCTTAGGTTGGAGGTGTTAGGGTTTAGAGTTCAGGGCTTGGACATGTTAGCATATGTCTCATGGCCGGTCAAGTCGCCGCTTCGGAGGAGGAGAACACGGATCGACCTGGCATCAGTTCCAAAGAGGCTGTGGCCATCAGTTGGTCGAAAGGCGCTCATTGCAGTGGTATGAAGCCGTGTAGTTCAGGAATTTCAACATTTTGTGTATATATATATATACAATATAATATATATATATATACAGGGCATTGAAGGTTGGCTGTGGGATGGGATCATGGAATCATCCGACCTACCTTTATGGGCTGCGAATCGCAGGGGCTGTCCTTCTTGGCACGATGTCGGGGCGCCTTCTTCTTTGGAACCTGGAATCTGGCAAGATCTTGAAGATCTTTCGAGGCCACCGAAGTTGTGTAGAAGCTCGGCTTGAATGCTGAACATCGTTCTTTACAAGTACAACAGATGTTACAACATGGGACATGGCCTTTCACGTCCAGACTTCCTCTTGCAAGGATGTGGTAAGGGTCTCTTGGAAGACCTCACAAGCGCTCAGTGCCTGCCGAGACCGGGTGATCCGCAACTGGAGAATGGAGACCGGAGAGTGCCTTGAGAAGGGATTGAACAGAGAATGTTTGTATGAGTAGCTTCTTGTTACTAGTAGTAAGGCCAGGATTTGCTCTTTGTAGCGATGCCCTTTGTTACTAGTAGCTTCTTGTTACTTTTGATAGATTTTGACCATTTGCAACCTTTGATTTCTCCAGCTATTGCTGCGAGCCTTTCGCAGCCGTAGACTTCTAGGCAGGCGTAGTAGGTTGAGGGGCACGTTCGGTTGGTTGGACATCGCTCCCAACTGCAGTCACTCAGGCTGGAGGTGTCAAGCATTATATAATTATTAGTACGATATTGGTAGATTTCGATCCTTTGATATTCATTGTCACTTGACAAGCATGATCATTCCAAGCAGGTGCACCCTTCTGCGTGGCCATACCAGTTCGGTGTGTTGCCTTTTGGTGAACTGGGAGCTCAGGCACCGATCTCTGGATATGGTTTGATTCAAGATCTTCAAACCATTTCGGATTCTTATGCCCACCGCCTGAACATGTTGGTTTGAAGGGCAGCCAAGAGCCGCCTGGTGAGGCGGGTGGTGAGCGCCGGGTTGATGGACGGCCTCCGGCTTTGGACCCTGGATTCGCGGCAGTGCCTGTCGCAGGCTGCGCCGGGGAGATCGGAGTACCGTTTGCCGGAAGCCGTGGATAACCGAAGACGGGAGGGGGGTTGATGGTGTTGAGACTTCCAGACGTTTTCTGGTTGAAAGCTGTTGAAAGCATTGAAGCATCGAGATCATTTCAGACATTTCCTGGTGAAAGCTGTGAAAACATGACTTTTCGACTTGACTTCAGTTCGCCCGCTTCATCGTTTTTGCTGATTCAAGGTGAGCCCAGCTGAAGGTCCACTTGGACCTGCCGAGACGAGAGTCATTTGCTGCGATGTCGACTGGCAGCATGAGAAGGCGGGGATGTGGATCAGAAATGAAGCAAAAGGTTCTTTAGAAAACACGCTGACAAGGTTTACCATGGTTTACCACTTGTTCTTACTTTGGAATATTCTCAGATTCGGTTTCGCATCCCACTGGACACCAGGCAGTCACTGGATCAGGACCGCCACGCAGTGTGTCCAAAACGGCGGTGGGTGACCGGCATGGGCGGTCTTTTTCTTGGTCCAAGCGTAGCTGCGCGTTGTCCGGTGTGGGCATGGGTTAGCCACTCCAGTATCACGCTTTCCGATGCTTGGGAACAGACACATTCTGGCCCAAGATTTCCACACAGCTCCTTTCGGCAGCTCCTTTTGGCAGATTAGGAAGTGGATGTAGGGATGCATGTTCCCCTTCTGCCTTTTGTGAGGAAGTGGGCTCTTGGCACTCTGGGATCTCAACTTGTTGAAGGTGGGCGCAGAAGTTGATCCAAAGGGAGCTTGCAGCTTGCATTTGTAGCTGTATGGGCGGCCATCGCTACTAGTAGCAAAGCACCTTACTAGTAGTAAGAAGAAGCTACTAGGTGGAGGCCATCACTCTCGGTGCACCGAGAACCTGGCGGCCGGCCGCACCTGGCAGCCGCACCTGGCACCTCGCATTCGGCTTAAACATCGTCCGAGGTGCTTTGGCGCCGCGATGGACACGGACACGGTGTTCATGCCGCGGACCCGGCGCGTTGGTCTTGGGCTTTTTCCACCATCGGGTCTCGGTTCCGCCAGGTCTCCTTGCAGCCGGGAGGCCAAAGGTGCCTCAGCGCTACAGAGTCTTCAGTGCCTTGCCCAGCGTCGTCGGCGGAATGAGGGGCAGACTTTGTCCACTTAAGTGGCGAGATGTTTATCTGAGATTCATCAAGAATAAGGGACTTTCATTTATCTTAAACTCAACTGACAACAGCCCTCAACCTGCACTGATGTGTCAGCTTGAGTGGCATACCGGCATACCGCAGTTGCCCACCACCACTATCAGAGATGAACTGTGCAACAGCTGGGAGACAGATCGGCAAGGTGGCGTGTGGAGTTTCGTTGATTCCATCTTTCAATCGTTGATTCGACGTATTACTTCTGGTGAAATGCAGCGTGTGCGTGCCACAGAGACGGTTCCTGTGGTGCAAGCCTAGGTTTGCATTTGGGTACACCTGGCACGTGTTGGCGTCACACGGGTCGAAGTCGGTCTCTCATTTTCTGTTTGGCATTGTTACTGCACCCCCGCTTGGTCCAAGCACTTGGTTAATATGCACCTGTAGTTGAGGTGCCGTTTTGGACCGATGTTGTGTGGGTTGTTGTGGTGTTCCAATTGAGCAAAGAAGTTGCAGTATTTAATCTTTTCTGAGCATTGGTAGGATTCGATCATGTGGTCTGTCACTCGTACTGCGGGTGCAGATGAATGGCAGATAAACTGCACTTAAGTCTGATACTTGTCGCTCATGCGACGAAACGGCAGGATCAAGCTGGCGAGTTGCAATGCCGAATTCCAGGACATGCCTCATATAGCCGGTTGGACCAGGTTTGTGTACATATAATATATAGATCGAACATTCAGTTTTCATTTGAGCAACCGCCAAAACGTGCAATGACTAATGACTAATGTAGTAAAGAGCGGTCGTGAATCCAAGGAATTAAGCAAGAATGGTAGGCCCCTCAAAGGCGATAACCCTATTTCCGCAGTTTTTGGATATGTTGAGCAATGTTGACATTGTGGCTAAAACCCGCAAAAGCAATAGGCCCCCCTCAAAAGCGATAACCTTGCTGAATCATGTCCTTTGCTTGACTGTACGTTTTGGCAGACGCTCATTTGGCTGTGGGTCGAAACCCCGTAACCATGGTTGACCACCGAAAATGAACCAACAACGCTATGCTTGGGATGTCAACCCACCAGGATTTTTGGGCTGGTCTTGACCCACAGCATTTTTTAAAAATGCCTTAGGTCCCACCCACCTCCCCACCTTCATCTTGTCAATTCGAGCAGTTGTAGCAAACAACATTGTTTGGATCATCACTGCATTCTAGGAGCTGATGAGTTGTATTGTACAAAGTCGTACAAAGTTTCTGTCGAGTGTAGTGCCTGGAAGTTGGACTTGCATGAGGTTCAACTGTATTTTCGACTTGATCATGCTGCTTCAACCTTTTCAGGAGTCTACGAGCAAGCCTGCCTGGTGCTGGACTGGGAACATGTCAAATCTGTTTGTGAAATTGATGTGATAGTTCTGCCACTTCAGGTTTTGATACCATGCAGAGAACTGTTTTAACTCCAAAACGCTGTACATTCTAACATCAACGCTGGTTGTTTGAGTGCAGCAGATGGAGGACTGGCAGAGTCTTTGGCTCTTTTGTGCCTCAGATGCGGTGTCTTGGGCGAAAGACGATCACGATTCTCTTCGAGTGTTGGAGATCTCCTTGCGTCACCAAGTCCGAGGGTTTGTGACGTGGAGACGTATCGCCGTGTGGAGACGTTCCGACAGACACCTTGTGGAGACGGAACTTGTTTTGCATCTGCCGAGGTTTGGCTCTACGACATGCAGGAATTGAAGGAGGCGGGGCCGGTTCGGTGTGGGTGAAGAGTTTGCTGTTGAAGCACCTATCGATGTGATTCAAGTCCAGGCACTACAAACTATAATTTCTAGATATTTCTAGTTTCTTTTTGCACAAGCAATAGCAGTAGCCTGTCCTTTGTGCTAGTCCCTATATTATCTATATTCTTCACTCATCTGGTCATTCTGTATGAAGGTAGTAGGTAGTATGCGCTTGTGTGGAGAAGCTGCATTGTCAAATTTTAAAAGCAATTTCACCTTCCGGTCTATCAGGTCCAGCCAATTTCAGTGTGCGTTCTTTTGAGAACCTCTCCCACCGGGTCCGATGGCCTCTCGTTGTTCCGGGAAGGCCAAGGTCCTTTGTGAACTCCGAGGGGAGCATGGAGTGAGCTTGAGTTGTGGGGCTGTGGAGTGGCCACATGCCATTCACCTTTGATGCAGCAATGGTCCTGCCACATTTCACAGCTGAGAGCGGGAGATGGTTTTGAAGGACTGCAGAATGTTTCCCTTGAGTTGATTTGGGAGTATCAATTCGTTGGATCAGGATTGGCCGCTGAAATGCAGTGTGCCTTTCGTTTGTGCGGCTTCATTTGTGCAAGCCAGAGAGGAAAAGGGGGTTCCTCTTGGCTCAGAAGCGAGCTTATGAACCAAGAGAACAGAAGCGATCTTTCTCATGACTCATCAGTGACTCATGACTCGCTTAGTTTCCTGTTCCACACTCTGCGGGCAGGATGGCCTAACCCTGCCTCTGCTGCAAGATCAGGTGCGGAGCTTCACGCGCTGAGGACATGTTTGGGCGCTGAAGATTCTTCCGAAAGACTCGACTCAGGTGACTCAGCTTGGGGAGAAGATTCAAGCACACTCTGACGCCCTTGAACAGGTGCCAGTTCATTTGGTGTCAGTTGTTTGATGTTGTTTGTAGACAGAAGTTGCCATAAGTGACTTGAGTCGCCCCGCCCCCGGTGCTGTTTTGTTGTTTCAGGTGCGGAAACTTTTGGAGCTTCAACTCCAGCAGGAAATGGAACGACCGCAGACAGCAAAGGCCATGGGTCTCATCACGTCTTGTGATCAAAATTTGTTTTTGTATGTTTTTGTTCTCAATCAAACAGATGTTTCCACAATGTGTTTGCTTGTTTTGGGAACTTGCTCTTCAGTTTGTGTGTGCAATAGTTTATTAACCCTAGCCGGTGTTCCAGCACAGGTACTTTACATATCTAAATTATATATGGGTTTACGCCCCCGGAATTAAAGGGGAAGTCCTGACCATGTCCACCCCCGTTAGCTCCGGCTCAAAGGGGTGTTGGTTGATGTGGGGGCACTCGCCCGCGTGCCGGTGTGGCGTCTGCCTGACGCTTCATCGGCTGTGCGCCCACATCGCGGACTTCACTCGTGAGCCTGGGTACATCGCATTCGCCTCCGACCGTTTGAGAGTGGCGGCGGGCGAGTTGTGTGACTTCATCGACTCTCGACGGCGTGATCAGGGAGCTGGTGCGGCATCACCGGCGACTGGACTCCTCCCAGGGACTGGTGCAAGGGAGTCTCAGGGAGTTCAAGGGCAAGGAGGACCAGGAGCTGGACAAGCCAAGGAGGAGCACGCCCGAGAGCCCGAAAGAGAAAGGTCATCGAAAAGGAGCACTGCAGAGGTCAAGAACGAAGGAGAGGAAGAAGATCTGCCCGGTAAGAGAGAGGAGAGCTTAGACCAGTCGGAAAAGGACAGTCATCCCAGTACAGCCCCAAAGAGCTTGCCTGGTCGAAGAAAGTCGGAGAGATCGCCTTTGCCCCGCAGAGAAGCCAAGAAGGAATCAGAGGAGGAGCTGGAGGAGAGTGAACGGGAGTTTGAGGCAGAGCTCACTCCTCACAGACCATCAGGCGAGCGTAAGAAGAGTGAAAGGGAGAGGGAAGAAGAGACCACTCCTCACTCAGAGAAAAACCAAAAGAGGAGGCGGAGAACCAGGAGCCGATCGAGAAGGAGGAGACGCCGAAGCCCTAGCAGAGAGGAGGTTGAGAGAGAGGTTCATCACAGGAATCCGGGAGGAGCTTCATCAGCATCAAGGCGTGAGCCGAAGCCCTCACAACGTCCTGACAGTGACCCGCCTGCCAGGTTGAGACCGAGGTCACCGTCTCATCCCCCACCGTCTGGGCGAGGAGGTAGAGGTTATTGGTCAGGGCCAAACTACGGTCGAGGGCGAGGTTATTACGGGGGCTCAGATTGGAAGAACAAAGGGGTGAAGAAAGTGGAGACACAGAGGAGTTTCAAGGCCTTCCTCGCCCATCGAAAGGAGCACCTGGGCTAGGTGAATGGCCCCCAAGCGAAGACCGGCCGCAGACGTGAGAGTTCGTGGAGATCGTCGTGTTCGAGCACGGCCAGCCGCAGAGGAGCCCGACTTCTCAAGGGGAGGATTGGTGGAGGGGCATCGGGTGACAGTGGGAGAGCTGACACCTGGCACCAAGATCTTTGCGGAGGCCACTTATTGGGACAGGCCGGTGGAGGTCGCAGGTGAAGTTATTGGGGTCTCCCTGGTGGGAGGCCAGTTGGAGCTGAAACTGCAAGCTGGGGGGACGCCCGACGAGGGCCTCCTCAAGTGGCTATCAGGGCAAGAGGACAGATGTCTTCGGGCCCACTTGTGCACATCGCTCTGCACGAACAGCCCGGTGGCCGACGACTACGTACACTTGAAGAAGGTGAGGAAGTTGGAGGTGGCCCCGCCCGCATGGGGCGAGAACTTGAAGGAGGCGGCAGAGAGCGAGACGCTCAGAAGATTGGCGGAAGAGTCCAGCAGGAAAGCCAGAGAAGCACGAGGGAAAGGAGTAGGCGGAGGTCGAGACCCGGCAGCCGGAGGAGAAGCCGTCCCCGAGGAGTTGAGCAGTTCGAGCACGAGTTCATCAAAGAAAAAGAAAAAAGGAAAAAA